GTACTTGTTACAGAATCGTTGTTGAGCGGTTGAAAATGCAGTAAATAAACTTTTTTAAGAGATGAGTTGAATCGGTGTTGATGATTCAATTCTTACATTTTATTTCAATTTTCTCCTCTTATGAAAAATAGCAATATGAGGACTTTTTTTTAGAACTACGCAATAATTAAATTCTTCTGAGTATTCAAAACATTTTTTCACTGTTCAGAATATTACTGAAAAATTGGTAATTTCTAGAAGACCTGATTCAAAATTAGAGAAGAAGCCTATTTCGACATCTTTAGAAAATCCTGATCTAACGTCCTTGTGTCCAGATTTGGCAAAAGCAAACGCTTTGATATCGTCAAATGCAGCTGTATTAGCTGCAACTATGAACAGCTTTTTACTGGCTGGAACAGGTTTTTTTTTTGCTGTTTTTTTTATTTATAGAAGAAAGAAACTTTTTTTTGTTACCGTTTTTATGCTATTTTCAATATCCAAATTTTACTTAGTATCCTTTTTAGGATTTTTCTGCAATAAATTCTCCTTTTTTTTTCGTCTGATATTATTTTTGTTGAAGCAGCAGTTGTTGAAACAGCTTATTGATGACAGTGAAAAAGTTCATGTAAAATTTAGTTTCTGATACGATGACACAAGTGCCTTCGAATCGTGATCTGCTTGCAGCGTTTGCAGCTCTTGGGGTGGTACCTTTTTTAGGCGATTTGGCTAACGTACAAGGCAATGAAGGTTAGTTTTTTGAAAGAAAAATTACGTTTTTTTACTCTTTTTTTTGCTGATAAATTAGATATGTTTTCTTACTTGCAGTTAAGATTTTTCTTACCAAATTTCTCTGAACTTTTTCACCTCTCACTGTTTTGTCTATTTATTACATCTGTTTGTTGTTATGCAACTTTTCTTTTTATGAAACCGTCTACTAATGCTGATTGCTGGAAATATTCTAATTGAAATGTTATCTGGCACTCTTTAGGTTTTTATATATATGTTTGTATAACTTGTTATTCTTTAAAATTAAAAGGGAAATAGTTAAACTGAAATATACACATTTTTTTTGCCCAAAATAGAATTTTTTTTTTGTAGAGGTTTTCTATTTCCTCTTTTCTTTCTCCAGTTGACAAATAAGTTCACAGGCTTTTAGTAGTTCTTTAATGGCGTGTTTCTTTTGACACACGATGTCTGCAAATTGTCAGCAGTTGTTGAATGATGGTGATTCAGGAACGAAAAAAAAAAAGAAGGTTTTCTGTCAGTGTTTATTCTGTTGAATAAGGATTTTTTTGACCATGTTTCATTTGTATCAGTAATTTACGCTTTTTAGAATGCTTTTAGTTCTTGGAATCATTTACTCTGGTTTTATTTATTTTGACTACTAAATAAGAGGTTATTTTGCAGTTCTATGAGTAACGATTGTCTATCCAATTTTTGATGAGGTTTGCGGTACAGTAAAACTTAGTTTTTAGGGGTTCATTTAACGGTTTATCAAAATTGTATGACAAATTGTATTGCATATAAATAACTGTTTAAAGCCTGAACAAACTATTTATTTATTTTTTTTCTCGTAGAAGTTTATTTCAAGTATAAATTGGAACTTGATTTGTACTTTTTTTTTTTTTTTTCGCTGTTTACTACTAAATGCGCACATAGTTAATGTTTATTTTTCGTTTTTATTTCACTTTTGATACAGTGCTTTTTTTTGTATTGTTGAAAACACTAGCAAAATAGTTGTTTTGCCAATACTTTAAAGTTGAAAAATTTTTGGTATAAAATATACATGTTAGAGATAGCACTGTGTTTTCAGTTGTATAAGTCGATTTAGTGAACAGACGTTATTTTCTGGTCTTTTTTTTTTTTT